GGGGGGAGAGAGAGAGAGAGAGAGAGAGAGAGAGAGAGAGAGAGAGAGAGAGAGAGAGTAGTGTGGCCGCGCGCGCGCGCGCCCAGGCCGGGGTCTATTAAAGGTGATCCAGGGGAATCGGGCGCGGGGCGATGCGCGGGCGCGGGGCGATGCGGCCAGCCCGCCCGCCCGCGCCCCGGGCTGGTCCCGCACAGGAAGGGGAAAAAAAACACACCCGAGATTGCACGGCACACAGCGCGGGGGCGCGGTCGCCGCCGGCCGCCGCCGGCCATCCGTTGGCAGCACGCTTCGTGCGCGAGATCGCCCGGCCCCCCCCCCCCCCCCCCCCCGCCCATGGTGGTCACTCGTCGGCGGCGTCCTCGGCGTCCTCGACGCCGGAGAGATCGCTGGCGCTGGCGTCATTATCCCCCGGCGGAGGGGGGCCGCCGGCCGTGCGCCGGGCCTGCTTGCGCGCCTGCTTGGCGAGGCGCTTCTGGTTTTTGCGCGAGCTGGCCAGCGCCCCGATGCCGGACGCCTCGGCCCCGGAGGCCGCGGGCCGGCGGCCGGTGATGCGCGGGCCGGGGCCCTCCTCGCCGGCGCTCGGCGCCAGCGCCGAGAAGTCCCCGGCGCGCGGGCGCTTGGCGGTGCTGCCCTCCTCGGCGTCGGCCGCACGCTTGGCCCGGTCCACGGCCCCGGCCAGCGACGGGCTACTGGCGATCCGCTCGAACACGGCCACGAAGAAGCCATTGGTCCCGTCCTCGGGCCTGCCCCGGCCCGGGAGGCGGCCCCCACGACGAAGGCGCACATGGCGCGCGCAGGTCCCCCCACCCCCAGCAGCCGGGCAACGGATGTCAGACAGGGCCAGCCACAGGAGCATGCGCGGGAGGATGATGCTCGGCGATAGGGGGCACGTACATGGCGCGGACAACGAGCTCGGCATCGGCGGCCGTCAGGCCATGCTCCTCGGCCAGGCCGCGCCGCGGCCAGGTGGGCAGGACCCCCGACGCCAGCCGGAAGTGCCCGCCGCCGTTGGCCAGCGACCGAGCCACGACACCCTCATTCTCGCGTGCATGCACCGAGCAGGTGGAATAAGAGATCTGCACGTCGGGGAGGGGGGGGGGGGGGGGG